TATGTTACATTTCAGTCTCAGCTTCACCTTGTGGTAAAATATACACCTTACCTCTTCTTCTTCTAGATTTTTTCAACCTAACATGCCAATCACCTTGGTCTTCTACTTTGATATTAAATCATAAACTTTTAAAATCAAAATGTGGGGCATTATCATCCATTTCATGTGATATGTTTCAACTTGACTTGTCTGGATAGTTTTGTTACCCTAATATTGTCATCTTGCATGTTAGCTATCTCTTCTAGCTCTGTGTCACACTTGAATTTGAAACCGCGAGTTAGAAGTCTTTAAAGGAATGAGAAGCAGGATTTTTCCAAGAGACAGTGAGGCACTGAATTTCCCAGTCCTTGAGCTTTAGAAGGTCATCCTGCCAAAGCTAGGTATTTGGGGTCATAATGCCTCTTGGAAACAAACAAACAAACAAACAAACAAAAAACAGCCAGATGAAGACCATAGGTTCAGCTTTGCCAAACTCTGAAACCCCCTTGCCTGCCTTCCTTCTGAGGAGAGCTGAACTCTATTTCTGAAAAAATAAAGAATGCTTTGACTCCATACTCGGTGCTGCACATTTTTCCTGTAAATGTAAACATCTCTGTCACACCAACCATTCTGCTACTTTCAGACTCAGTAATTACGCTGTCATGGTCTCTGGCAAGTATGAATATGAGAGTGCTAGTATTGATGTGCAAGGCTCTTTACTGGGTGCTGGAAATACAGCCAGGAAGAGAGCAGATCTTTTGCCTGCCCTCAAAAAGGTTGCTGTCTGACAGAAATAGAAAACAAGAGTAGTAGTTTTCACAATCATTGTTTGGTTGATGTTATTTGATACAATCGGGCTTTCTTCATCTGTTTCTATTTATCTCCTTTTTAAGTTATTTTGGCAAATGGATAGTCCAAGTTTTCTTTCCATGGAAACGTATGTTGTCAGCCTAAGAGGTAATTTCATTATTTTGTTTTAGATTCTATTTATTCTAAAGGAAATGATAAGTATCCTATATTTAAAGTTTAGAAGGCTTTGGGGTAAGACATAACTGACTAATTCCTTCAACCTTTGTCTCCTCTTAAATAGGACAAATACACCCATCTTGAAAGCAATTTCAGTTACCCAAACGTTGGCCTTCTTCATGAGTTTTGGATCTTGACAACCATTAAAATTTGGCAAGCAGCCTCTACCTGCCTGGCAAGAAGTTATATTTAGGTCTGTGTGAAACTTCATTTTCCAGTTTCAGACATCTTCAACCCTTGCTGTTGAGTTCCAACACTCATACTTTCATATAAAGAGATTTTCTGGAGTTCTCCTATGGCTGGTATTTGCTTTGACAAAGATTCTCACCAAATCCAAAATAACCTGACACCAGCGAGGCCTTCATGGCTTGGAGACTGTCTATTGTTGCTTGGCCAAATCAAACAAGTTTGATCTTTGTCATTCTTTTGCTTGTTTTTCAGTCTAACCAAAGTCCAAAGGGAGCTTTTTGGCATTTATAATCATATAATCAACTCTTAAAATAGAAGAATTGAAAAATTTTGAAGTGAGACTGTGTTTACTAAATTAGGTCACTGCAACATCAAAATGGTAGCTCAGAACTATATTTGAAAATCTCATGTGGTCCTGGTATTCAATCTTAATGTCAGACTTGTATGAGAATCCCAAATTTCATCCCCATACTTTATTTCCTTGTACATGTGCTTTGTTCCTACACATTCCTGAGCAGTAGTGTGACAAGGTCTAGGATGCCACGATACACTAGAGAAGTTCCA